CATATATATATATAGATAGATAGATAGATAGATTTTTTTTACAAGCTTTTAGTTAGGTTTCTTAAGTGTATTTTTATTTGTTTTGGGAATTAGTATTATTATTGTTATGATCTCCCCTGTTTTAAGAATAATCAAAATAATAGCACCCTCTTACCCTCATTTTGTTTCTTCTAATCATGTCCTGCTTGTTTTCATATATGAAATACTTTATTATCTTATATGATATTTTATGTTTGTCATGTATGATGTAGCTTAGGCACATTGAGTTTGCACCTGTTGTATGAAATGTGCTATATAAATAAAATTGACATACCTTGACTGAGGGGGTCTCCGACTAATGATTTGAATCTCTGAGTTTCAGGGGGCAGCCCTACCAGAATCAATACATTGTAGAGCTTAAATAATAGATTAGTCAATCTAAAAAATGTATTAAAAGAGTGTAGTAAATGTGTTGTGTTGGTCTGACAAAACAAGTAATTTGTTGACATCACCTTTGGCTTTAGAAATAGTGATATACACTATACATCTTATAGACTTAATTCAACACAAACACTTGGCAGATTAACAGGAAATGGAAATAATCATAACTTGCAGCCTTAGTTAACACTCTATTAAGTTATTTAAATGTTTAATTCAACAGTTTAGCTAAACAGATTGCACTTTTTGCATGGTACCTAGGTCTGAAGTCATGCTTTCTGAATACAAGGCCAGACAACACTGAAACGCCCCAGCTGTTTAAGACTGAGTGTGTTCTCTGTCGATAAAGATATTGATGAACTGAAGTCCTGAGGCTTCCTGATACCATGTGATAAACACCTGATTAAACTAAATATTGAAGCTAAATGTCAGGATTTTGCAATCTGCTGGGGGACAAACCACTTACTGCAGTCAGTCAGTTATACTGGACTGGAAACGTTTGCATATTGCAGAATCATAACAGTTCAGTTTGAGTCAAGCAGCATGATGTCATTATTACCACTGTGAAAATCAAACTACAGCCTTGGTGTTTTATTTTTTCGGATTTTTAAGTTTAGTTTAGTTTTCACTACTGATGGGAATTAGTTAAAGGACGTGTGGGTGTTGTTACGAAAATGAAATCTTTTAAATGTGGTGGTTTTGGAGTGACAATTTAATGGACCTTTAACAAAGTGTTCATCATGCTTGAATCGGGGGGTTGGAGGTCGCAGATAAGACAACCTCGAAAAATGATAGCGCTCTGAATTCTCACATTAGACATTTGAAACTGCTAATTATGAATCTTTGCTCTGAGCACTTCCACATGTAAATCCACCAGGTATATAAAAGACAGAGAAACTGACTTCTATTCATCTGCCTGAAATGATTTACAGCTTACTATTTATACATAACATATGGAAAGCACAGGAGGTCAAGCCATGCACTACAGCAATTACCGGTATCTCTACGACAACTGATGCATCTATACACCTCTCAACACAGATGTTTAGAGATGTTCACCTTCAGCGAAAATAAGAACATATTCAGCTCATCTGCAAACTAAACGAGTCGGCGACCGCTGGAGCGAAACAAAGCACAAACAGCGTCAGAGCTGTAATAACTGGCTGTAATTAAAGCTCATTTCACGCCGCTGCAGTTTGTGATGCTCCACACGAGGAGCTATTTGTCAAAATTAGTTGGGATGCTCAGGAGCACATCACACCTGTCAATCAATGAACAAACTTTCTGGCCACTGATCAGCAAGACTGACACTGATGAAGGTTGCACGGCCAGAAGAAGCTGTCTGATGGTTTGTTTGTTTTTTCATGACACTAATTAATTTTTTATCTTGTTTTTTTTACCCAAGCAATTCAGGTTCTATTTTGTATGTAATTAAGTGCATAAATATGCTTAGAATTAATGTACTGGTTTTCCAGGTTTTCACTCATTTTGTCCCCATTTAATTAAGAAATAATCATATAATTATTAATAAACCTTGGCTTGTTTAAACAGTTATATAAGGTGAAACTAAAATCCCAAACATCAAGACATCAGTGTGTTTCTCACCGTATTAAAGGAAGTGTGTAAGAGTCCTTCTGTCCACCCCCTCGAAAACTGGCTCATCGTCAGTTTGAAGTTGTTTTGTCTTAGTTGTCCTTCTCTTTTGGTTCAGCCTACCTGCAAATAATACACAGGAATAAGATTAAGATATGCTGACAACTGAGACTGTATTAATTTATTAAGGTATCACAAATGCTCAGGTTCAGGCAAGTAGGCAAAATTAGTATTAGACATGTCTTTTGAAACAACGTGACTAACAAGAGATAAATGCACACAGACTTGTCAAAATTATAATCCAAACACGTCAAATTGCGTGTCGTAGCCTAACATGCACCTCACCAGCAATGTAACTACAAGTCACAGCGATGCAGACCTCCTGTATATTTTTCCATTTCCCCAGTGAAAACAAAGCTTTTATTAACTTTTATTTCACAGTTAGGAACCAATAATTGTGAAGACAATAAAGCCCCCAAAAATAGCATTTTAAGGCCCTGATCACACAGGAAGCATTTGCGCAGCTGGAGGCAGCTTTTTTCAATTGTTTTTGATGAGAATTAAGCTTTTTGCTTGCTGTTTCTGTGTTGCTATGTGCCTTGTGTTTATGTGCTCTAGGCGCCTGGCCTTTTTGCCGGAGTGCTCTAAAGTCCTTGAGTTCAAAAAACTTAAACTCAGAGAGGAAAAGAGCCCCATGTCATCCCGGCTTTTTTCCCCAATGGCCAATCTGATGTTTTGGGGGGCGGGCCTTCTGTGGTGGTCACGACAATACATTTACAGTTGGTAAACAATGGAGGAGAAATTTGTGGAAGCAGCTGGATACCCAGAGCTATACAACTTCATAAGCTGCAGTCTTCACAATCTCAGTAGAAAAGAGATGTGGTGAGAGAGGGTGGACACAACTCTTTCACTCTCATCCTTAACACGGGAACACCCCAGGGCTGCATTTTGGGTCTCCTGCTGTTCTCCTTATATACATGACTGTGTAGCCACTTCATAGTCCAACACCATCATCATTTACTCCTAATAATGAAAAGGAAGGAGAGGAAGTAGAAGATCTGACCTGCTAGTGTCAGGACAACAACCTACTCCTGAACATCAGCCAAACTAAGGATATGATAGTGGAGTTTGGGTAGAAGCAGCAAAGGAACTACACTCCCTTAATATCAGGGGTTCCTTAGTTGAGATTGTGGACAGTTTTACGTGCCTTGATGTCCACATCACTGAGGGCCTGACCTGGGCACTGCATACTGACTCAGTGGTGAGGAAAGTCAAGGAACACTGTTTCACCTGAGAAACCTGAGGAAACTCTGGGTATCATCACTGCCTGGCACGGAAACAGCACCAAACAGGACCGTAGGGCCCTGCAAAAAGTGATACGTTCAGCAGAACACACTGTGGGCACTGCTCTACCCTGCCTAAGGGATGTTTACACCAGATTCTACAAAAATAAGCTGGGAGAATCATTAATGACTCCAGCCACACAAATAACTGCCTTTTCTCCCTGTTGAGGTCTTAAGGATGGTACCAAATACACCAGGCCAGCACTAAGAGACTCAGGAAGAGCTTCTACTCCTTTTTCTACTTTATTATTAAAATCTATGTTCTACTCTTAGGCCACAAGGATCCTAAATAAAAACCCTGCGTTATCTAAAACCTAACCCCATAGAAATGTATTTATGATTGTTTTGAATACACAAATTGACAGAACTGAAGACTACATTTGAGTGGAATTATATTTTATGATTTCATGTGGCAAATAAATTAACTGATTGATAGTACCCACAATAACCTTTGATATTTTAATGATATAGGCCTATTGATCGCCGAATTGGAAATGTACCCTGTTTAATTTTAGAAATTTGGTCACTTTACTATAAGTCAGAAAGGCATTAAATACTCTGCTTCAAACATGAGGTCTTTCTTCTGTTGGCACCGGTCAGTTTTTACAGTGAGGATACATTTTCAATTACAGTAAGGGACAAACATGATGGATGGATCACAATAAATCATACATATACACCAGCCTGTCTGGACAGGTCGGTGCATAAATGTCTGCTATGTTTGAGGACTATCGTGTACAGACTTAATGTTACAGTATTAAATATACAAAACTCCTACTAACACTACCAAATGACAACCATACACTGTATAAAGGATGACAACGCAGAAATGTTTTTTTTTTTTATGTTTTAACCACATTTAGGTTACCTTAATGTAAGTTAACCTGAACTATCACGATATTTTCATTGACAGTTTTATTAACCTAACGCTAGCTACCTTGGTTAGCAAGGTGCATCTGTAGCATTAATTCACCTTAACTGGGAGGCTAATTTTAGCTAGACTTAAAACAAAATGCACTCACCACAAAAAATGAACAGCCTGTTACCCTTAGATTGTCTTACAGTAATGTTAAGCTGAAGAAGACATTTTTGGGCGGCCAAAATGTTACAGCTTTTATGAACTGACAATATGTTGTATCGAAATAAGCTGCTCCATCGTCAATATGCGTTTCCCTCCTGTTGATGCGTAGGGCCCCCCTCCCCTCCCTTGGTGGTTAGGGTTAGGGCTAAAGTTTTTTTTTTTTTTTTTCTTATTTCTTTCTTTTTTTTTTTTTATTTACTGTCAATAAGGCATGTCATATAACATTATATATTACTATATATACAAATGTTATATAATTATTGTATTGAGCATTGAGCTTACTGCAGAGCTAACTGCATATATCACTATAACTGAGCTAACTGCTAAGCAGAAATAAATAATAAAAGATAAAAATAAAAATTAAATACACGTGGTCATTCAAGAATTCAGGTACACAGATAGTCATACAGACATAGGGCCTTTCTAATTTTACAGTATTTCACTCTTTTTTTTATATATAGAATGATCTCATTTACAAATTAAAGGAAAATGGGGCTAGTTTTCAAAAAACGACATTTGCGAGTAAAAGATTTTCCCCAAATAATTATATTATTAATCCCAAACTCTGCTTTCTTGTCCTCCAGTTGGAAACCAGTCGTTATATTTTCATAATTTAGAGTCAATATTTGGATCAATTTAAGTCAACCAATACTGAAAAACCCAAAAGGTTAAAAGAAGAGAGGAAAATATGATCTAATGTTTCAATGTCTGAGTTACAGAAGTACAAACACGTTTGGTTCAGGTTTACTGAGGTTAAAAATTGTAGAGTCATAAAGTGATGCAGGCAATGACGTTTATGTTTTTACTAGACCTGGAAGTTAACATCACCCTGATCCACCCAACAAAAATATTTTAATATGTTTCAATCTATGCATCATAATAAATCTGTAGCTGTTTAGGGTCCAGGTGAGCAGTTCCTCAGAGAGCTGCAAGCAGCAATACCACAGGACAACAATCAGCCTGTTTTAAACAGACATGTTTTGCTCTAGTTTTGAAATAACTCCCAAAATATTCAATCATCTGTTGCCAACACTTAAAAGTCACTGTCACACCAACCTTTTTTTTTTTAACCACCACCTCTGATAAAGACCATTTTTCATAAAGCATATCAGGGTGCCAACTGTTTCTATCAGCCCTGCTGCATGGCTTCATTTTGATTTGTTGTTTCAAAACTCATGCAGTCTAATAAAGCACAAAAGCTGGAATTCACCCCTGAGCGTGGGCCCTGAAAGACATATTGACTGGATGGACATTAAAAGAGAAAAAATTAGCATGATCCACCTTTGTTTTGTTTTGTTTCGTATTTTCATTAGGAAACACTGACCTCTCAGCAGAAGCAGAGAGATGGACAAAGCTTTCACTTTTTATATATGTGCAGCTTTATTCCAGCAGAGTTATAGATTTTCCAGCAGGGAGCAGTGTTACTGTGTGTTACTGTATTTGTGTGTTTGTGTGTGTGTGATGGCAGATGCCTGCTGAGGTTTGTCCCAGTGATTTGTTTGTCCTGCTGAATGAGTTTGCTGCCTGTCATTAAAGCAGCCAAGCAGGGAGAAACAGTCTGTCTGTCAGGAGGAGCCCCTCTGTGGCTGCGCTGAGTTCAGCTTTCCCCCCGGCTCGCTCTCTGTCTGTCCCTGTCTATATCTGCCTGTGTTTGTCTTTGTCTGTCTCTCTCCAGTCGCCTCGTCCATCATGATACAGGCAGGATCTCTCTATCTACATTTCAGGCATTTAGCGGACGCTGTCATGCAGAGCAGCTCATAATAATTGCAACACTGGGATAAGTGCTGGAGTTGCTACTGTGCTTTCCCAACTTTACAAGTCAGGAGTCCACTTTAGCAAAGCTTTAATAAGAAGTGTTAAGATTTTACTACAGTAAAAACAGAAATACTGTGGTACAAGTAAAAGTCCTTCATTCATATTCTACTTTAAAGCAGTGGGTCCCAACTGGTGGGTTGCGGTCCAAAAGTGGGTCAAAGGTTCATTCTGAACGGTCCGCAAGTGACTCTCTAACACTTTAATTTGAATTACATTGAACGTCCGGCACAGAGCTTTCATTTTCAAGTGCCGTTTCCTGCTGTAGACTAAGTGACTAACCGACAGATACTTGACAGAGACAGCAAACTAAAGCAAACGAAGGTGTGACACTGAATATATTAAACTGTGTGGAACTTGAACTAATGACTAAGGAAAAATCAGGCTAACTGATCATGGTGAGAAATGATGCTATAAAAGTGGAGGAAATTACATCTTTTCAAGTCAGTTTTGCATGTCAGGGCACTTGGATTACGACAGACGAGCGGCTCTGACGTTTTTGAATTGCATTAGCAGAGTTTTTTTTTACATTTTCAAAATGTGGGTTCCGTGCATTTCAAGTGTAGCTGTTATTCAGACTAGCTAACCCTAACCCTGAACGAGTTTTGTGGATAAAAAACTACACTGGACTTGTCGGCATGAGGGTCAGTAAGTACTATCTGTATTTTCATTCTAAAGTGGCCATTTCCTAACGCTGAGGACGGCTATGAGCTGAAACGCGTCCGTTCAACTGCTGCTGTGTGATCCACTATATTAAAAAGTTTTATACTTATTAGTGAGTGCTGTCTGGTTTTTCTGCTTTGCTGTGATATTTTGAACCGGCACCCAATTACACTTTGAGACTTTTGAGTGAGCGCGCCAAGTTTGCTAAAGACTTATCTCCATAC